AATGTCCTTCTGCTACCTTAATACTAAACCTATAAATATAGGCACATAGATCTATTTCCCCATCCTCATATATAAATATATTGCATATGTACATGAGACAGTACTTTTGTAAAATGTAAAATTCCCTATGTTTTGAAAGAGTTTACACACATGAAATCATTGCACAAACCAGATAATGAGAACAATATTTGGCACCCCTACACGTTTTCTCCTGCCTCTTTGTAATCCGTTTCTCTTGTTCTTCTCACCATCTCACTCCCCACCCCTCACACTCAAACAGCAAACACTCAAACACTGGTAGGGCTTGATCAAGGGCAATGTAGCTGAGAGGAATGACTGAAACCCGAATGAAGGTTGAACATGATAGTGAGACAAGAGGAAAGTAAGAGGAAAGAGAGGATAAAACCCCTATAGGGTCGCTATGAGATGGAATTGACTTGATGGCAGTGAGGTTAGGTTTTAAAAATGCATTTATTATTTCAATAAAAGGAACAGTAATAATATTAATAGTTGTTGAAACTGTAGTGAGATGAGCACTCTCATATATTGAGATAACTTTTCTGGGAAAAAGTATAATGAGTCTATCAAGAATCTTTAAATATTTAGTCTCTAGACATCTAACCTTAAGAAAGGCTAGAAATTTGTGCTGAATTTATATAGAATTCTCAGCTGTATAATTTAATTTGTCACAGGAAATGTTGCAAATATTTTGAATATAAGAAAATACCCATAATGTTCACAAATAATAATAACTAATCTTTTATGTCAAATGAATGCTCTTCAATATTTGTGTTTGATATTGAAAGCATAATTTCAAATAAAAAATGAAATAAAGGAAAGAATTAGGAGGAAAAAGACATTTGTAGAGGTCTAAATACAGGCATGTACACATGCAAATATATTTATATATGATGATGGGGAAATAGATCTATGTGCATATATTTACATGTTAAATATTAAGGTAACTGATGGACATTGGGCCTCGACTCAAGCACTCCCTCAATGCAAGAACACTTTGTTCTAATAACCTGACATTCCGTGATGCTCATCTTCCTGACATGATCGCTGAACACAAAAAGGGTGCATAAGCAAATGTGATGAAGAAAGTTGATAATGCCTGGCTATCAAAAGATATAGCATCTGGGGTCTTAAAGGCTTGAAGATAAACAAGTGGCCATCTAGCAGAGAAGCAACAAAGTCCACATGGAAAAAGCACACCAGTCTCTGTGATCATGAGGATTGACAGGATCATGTATCAGGCATCAAAGACCCAGAACAAAAATTCATCAATGTGAATGAGGGGGAGCACAGAGTGGAGACCCAAAGCCCAAATGGAAAAAGCACACCAGTCTCTGTGATCATGAGG